GGGCTGCGCGTGAACACCTCCGAAGGGGTGGTGCTCTTGAGCTACTCGGGGCAGAAGACTGAAGGGCCGCAGCGGATCAGCGCCAAAATCAGCCAGATCCCCCCGGCCAGCGCCATGGACATCGAATTCCAGCAGTCGGTGGCCAAGTCCCAGGTCAAGCCCGACTCTGTCTCCCCATCACAGCCTTCGCCCAAAGGCCCCCAGGCTCCTTCGGGCTATGCGAACGTGGCCACCCATTCCACCCTGGTACTGACGGCCCAGACGTATAATGCGTCTCCTGTGATTTCATCTGTGAAGGCTGACCGTCCGTCCCTGGAGAAGCCCGAGCCCATTCACCTCTCTGTGTCCACACCTGTCACCCAGGGTGGCACAGTGAAGGTTCTCACCCAGGGCATAAACACTCCCCCGGTGCTGGTTCACAACCAGCTGGTCCTCACCCCCAGCATAGTCACCACGAATAAAAAGCTTGCTGACCCTGTCACCCTCAAAATAGAGACCAAGGTCCTCCAGCCAGCTAATCTGGGGTCGGCTCTCAACCCCCACCACCCTCCTGCTCTGCCCAGCAAGCTGCCTGCAGAAGTGAACCACGTCGCCTCGGGACCCAGCACCCCGACAGATCGAACAGTGTCCCATCTGGCAGCCACAAAGCCAGATGCACATTCTCCTCGACCCAGTGGGCCTGCTCCGTCCCCGTTCCCGAGAGCGTGCCACCCCAGCAGCACCACGTCCACCGCACTCTCCACTAATGCCACGGTCATGCTGGCTGCAGGCATTCCTGTGCCTCAGTTCATCTCTAGCATACATCCGGAGCAGTCTGTCATCATGCCGCCCCACAGCATCACTCAGACGGTGTCCCTCAGCCACCTGTCGCAGGGCGAGGTGAGAATGAACACTCCCACGCTGCCCAGCATCACCTACAGCATCCGGCCAGAGACCCTTCACTCACCGAGGGCCCCTCTGCAGCCCCAGCAAATAGAGGTCAGGGCCCCGCAGCGGGCGGGCACGCCCCAGCCAGCTGCAGCGGGGGTGCCAGCCCTGGCCCCCCAGCATCCCCCAGAGGAGGAAGTGCATTATCACCTGCCTGTTGCTCGAGCTGCCGCCCCTGTGCAGTCAGAGGTGCTGGTCATGCAGTCGGAGTACCGGCTGCACCCGTACACCGTGCCCCGGGACGTGAGGATCATGGTGCATCCGCATGTGACAGCGGTCAGCGAGCAGCCCCGGGCGGCAGACGGGGTGGTGAAGGTGCCACCGGCCAGCAAGGTCCCTCAGCAGCCCGGGAAAGATGCGGCCAAGACTGCGGAAGCCAAGGCCCCCCCGGCCCCCGCCCCCCACGGTGAGGCCCGCATCCTCACCGTCACCCCCAGCAACCAGCTCCAGGGGCTGCCTCTGACCCCGCCCGTGGTGGTGACGCACGGCGTGCAGATCGTGCACTCCAGTGGGGAGCTGTTTCAGGAGTACAGATACGGAGACATCCGCACCTACCACAGCCCTGCTCAGCTCACGCACACTCAGTTTCCTGCTGCCGCCTCCATCGGCCTACCTCCTCGGACCAAGGCTCCCGCTCAGGTGAGGGCCACACGGCCGCCTCCCTCCCTGTGGCGGGTGGCATGCCGGCACGGACCCTGGGATGGGTCGCCCTCTCCGTGGTTTTAAAGAGGTGCTCCCTAAATTGCAGGAGGAGGGAATCCGATCAGCGTGCAGAGGGCTGAGATGTGGAAGGAGCTCTCTGGGAGATCGGGCAGGGGCGGGCGGTGGGAGCGAGCTGGTGACCTCTTCCCGGGACCCTCAGTCCCGTGTGCCCACAGGATCACTGCCCTGGGCCTCACTTCCAGGGGACGCCTACAGCTGACCCTGCCCCGGAGCCCGTGGCTGGGCGGAGGGGGGCGGGGGACAAGGGGTGAGGGCAGGGTGCTGTGTGTAACTCTCCGTCCCTCTCCCCCGCCGAACTCCAGGGCCCGGCTCCTGAAGGCGAGCCCTTGCAGCCCGCTCAGCCTGCACAGTCTACACAGCCCGCCCAACCCGTGCAGTCCACACAGCCTGCCCAGCCCACGCAGCCCTGCCAGCCCTCCCAGCTCAGCCAGCCGGGCCAGCCACCAAGCGGCAAGCTGCCTCAGGTCTCCCAGGAGGCGAAGGGGACGCAGACAGGAGTAGAGCAGCCGCGCCTCCCCGCCGTGCCCGCAAGCCGGCCAGCCGAGCCTCATGCGCAGGTTCAGAGGGCGCAGGCAGAGACGAGCCAGACCTCCTACCCCTCCCCCGTGTCTGTCTCCCTGAAGCCTGACCTCCCGGCCCCTCTCCCTGCTCAGGCCACCCCAAAGCAGCCGTTGTTTGTCCCCACAACCTCAAGCCCCAGCACCCCTCCAGGACTGGCTCTGACGCACACAGAAGCCCAGCCCGCTCCCAAACCAGATTCTTCTCCACACCTGACTTCCCAGAGGCCTGTGGATATGGTCCAGCTTCTGAAGGTAAGCCTGGGCAGGGCCCCCCCCCCCCCCCCGCTCCCCTCCAACCTTTGCGCCGGGTTAAATGTCCTAAGGTCCCCTCTTAGGCCAGTAAGCTGTTGCCTGGAGCCACGTCCAGCGTGGATGGCTCTGGCCTCCAGCTGCGAGCTCACTTCCTGTCTGTCTCCCTGAGAGCAGAAGTACCCCATCGTGTGGCAGGGCCTGCTGGCCCTCAAGAATGACACGGCTGCCGTGCAGCTCCACTTCGTCTCCGGCAACAATGTCCTGGCGCATCGGTCTCTGCCCCTCTCCGAGGGAGGCCCCCCACTGAGGATCGCCCAGAGAATGCGGCTGGAGGCCTCGCAGCTGGAAGGGGTTGCCCGGAGGATGACGGTAAGTCTCGGGCCCCAGGTGGGCGGCTGCCCTGCCCACGAGGGAGGACCGGGCTTGCCCTTGGGGTGTGGGAGTGGCAGGCCTGGCCTGTTCTGTCTGCGGTGGGGTGCAAGACCCCTCTAGGCTCAGAAACAGGGTTTTCCTTAATCAAGTTGGGTGGACTCTTGAGGTCACCTCAGCATGGGGGGGGGGGGGCCTTTGTGGACTTAGGAGCCGAACCCAGGGTTGGACAGGCATGGGGCTGTGGTCTGGCCGAGAGTCCCCTGATGGGACGACGGCTTCTGTCACAGGTGGAGACAGATTACTGTCTGCTGCTGGCTCTGCCCTGTGGCCGCGACCAAGAGGACGTCGTGAGCCAGACCGAGTCCCTCAAGGCAGCCTTCATCACCTACCTGCAGGCCAAGCAGGCGGCAGGGATCATCAACGTTCCCAACCCCGGCTCCAATCAGGTCAGCTCGGTGTCCTCCTTGGGACACGTACGTGGGGGCTGGTCTAGGCGGGCAGGCCGTCCCATCTGCCGGCAGGGGCTCCCAGGGCCACGTTAGGGTCGTCCAGAGGGGGCTCAGATGTGGGCAAAAGGGTGTTTTGGATAGAGGACACAGACAAGGCCACCATTGCCCACCCTGGAGCTAACCCAGGGTCAGCTGAGACAGCGGGGTTTTTACTTCCTGCTGCAGAGGCGACTCCCAGGATCGTTCGGTTGGTTTTCTGACATGTAGGCCCCTCCTGGTGGGCACAGTCCTAGTCCCCAGTTGGAAACGTTACGGGATGGTAGTGGGGTGGGGTGGCTGATGTGGAGACCAGGATCCCATTTCTCTCTCGTCCCCCTCTCTAGCCCGCCTACGTGCTACAGATCTTCCCGCCTTGCGAGTTCTCAGAGAGCCACCTGTCCCGTCTGGCTCCCGACCTCCTTGCCAGCATCTCCAACATTTCTCCCCACCTCATGATTGTCATTGCCTCCGTGTGAGCCACTGAACGGTCACCACTCGGTGTATTTCCCCGAGGCTCTGCAGCAAAAAGTTAACCCAGGACAACCCAGTCAGGTGGAGGAGGCAGCTGCCGAAGGGGATCTGCTCCACTGCCAGACGCCAGCCTCGCCCTCGAGCCCGCCCACCCGGCTCAGGGGGGCCGACCCCTCTGGGCAGTGGTGCTGCTACCTGTGTGTTTACATGATATTTAGCCCGAGGACAGACCACCAACCACTGGACTCTGCACACACCTTAGGGCTGGGTTTCTCTCTCCTCTGGAGAAAAGGAACTGGGCAGTGGAATTAATTTTTTGTTGTTTTTGTTTTTAAGAAACAAAACAGAACTGCCTTTGCACTAAATTAGTGACTTGGACTTTTGCACAGTGAAGACAGGCTGTGACACTCTGGATGTCTTGGTGTACCTGAACACGCATCGAGGACTCTAGCGCAGGACTTCAGGCTTCTGCTGAAACATTGGGGTCAAGGAACATTTCATTGGGTTGTTTGGTCCCCACCCTGCCCTTCCCCTTGCTCATTTGGATGTGTCACCTTTCTTAATTCTCCTGCCACCACCATCTCTGATTTACCCGGATGTACAGTTTACAATCGAAAAAGAGCAAACAGAAGGATTTTCTTTCCTGGTGGGATATGCAGACCTTGGGATGTGTGTATATATAAATATATAATATATATAAATATATATAATACTGACTTAAAAAAAATCAAATTCCCCTGACATACATTTTTTTTAATCTGTGCCAAAAATGTGTTTTCAGAGAAAAATCTTATTTTCATACTCAGACTTTGTATTGTCACTCATTTGTATAAGTGCGCTTCGTTACAGCACGGGCCCTGCCCCCGCGATTTGGAAGTGTCACACACACACACACACACACACAAACACACACACAGACTGTACAAAAAAGACTGGCTTCCCCTGTTCCTGTTACCTTGACCTCTCCCCCCAACTTCCTAACACTTATTAATTTATGAAACTGGTTTTCTCAGCGCAGTTTTGTTTTGTGTGTCCATTGGATTACAAACTTTATTAAAAAATACAAAACACGTCAAGCGTGGATGTGATTGTCACTCGGGTGGGAGGACCCTGGCTTCCCTCGTCCCGCTTCTGCTTCCCTCCCCACATCTGCCTGTGGGACCAGCTGCTTCCCTGCCACTTGACCCTCCCAAGCATCACGTCTTGTACAAAAGAGGTTTCTGCCACAGACTGAACTTGTGTGTTCCTGGGTAACGCGGAAGGCACTTCAAAGTTGGATACAGAAAAAAAACCCACCCACGGGCCGACTCAGAAACCTCGTAATAAGCAAGCTTTGGCGTCTCGTGTCTCGCCCCCCCGCCTCCTCTGGGTCTGGGGCGGCGGCCCTGCAGCGGCAGCGGCACAGCCTGGCCTGGGGGTGGGGGCATCCCTGCAGCTGGACCCACTCCCTACAAGCTAGAGGGGCAGAGTTGAGGGGCTCCCTTGGGATGATCACAGGGCTCCTCCCAACCTACACCTGCGGAATGAGGAGGTGGCGCCCTCTGATGAGGGAGGACAGCTGCTGGGAGCAAACCTGGGGAGGGGCAGGGACGGCGACAGGGCTCCCTGCCAAGGGGGGGGGGGGCTCCCTGGCCCTGCTTGCCACATCCCTACCTCCCCCATCAAAGCTCCCGGCCACTCCTCTCTGACCCTGGGCTTGGTCGTAGATTCCATCGGCTCAGGGCAAACGAACGTTCCCCAGAGCTGGCCCTGGCCGGGCCTGGATCCTGCGAGGGAGGGCGGAGGCCTCGGGCTTCCCCACGCCCGACGGACGGCCCGGGGCCTGGGGGCCTGGCTCTCTGCCTACCTTGCTGCTCGGGCTGAGTGGGCTTCTGAGCTGGGCGCTCTGGGCGGCCTGGATCCGGGGAAGCCAACCCGCCTGGGCAGAGGGGAGCGGGCTCACGGCTGTGCTCCACGGCGGAGAGGGGAGCTCAGGTCCTGAAGCTGAACAGGTGAGAAGCCCGAGGAGGAGACCGGATGAGGGACCGGCTGCGGGGAGCCCCGGTCTCTGGCCCCAAGTGTGCCACCCGCACCCCGACTCAGGGCGAGGAAGCCAGCCTTTCCCTAGAGCGGCCTCCCGGGGGGAGCAGCCCTCCCGGGGCACCGGCCTCGGCTGTGCCAGCTCCCGCCTCCCCCCCCACAGGGAGCTATAGGCAGCGTTAGAAAATAATCCAATTTATTCTCTCTAGGGAATGGGGCCACCCTCTCCTCTAGGGCGCCGTCCATCCTTAAATAGCAGTCACAGGAGGGCCGCCCGTCACTCAGCGGGCGGTGGACACTCTGGGGCCGCGGGGGGCGTCTCTGCCAGAGCGGGTGGGCCGTCGGCCCCGTCCCGAGGGCGGAAGACCAGCTCCCCAGCCTGCAGCACCTGCCCGGCCGGCCACGCGCTGCCTGGCCCGTACTGCTGGTAGAAGTCCGCGTCCGTCTGGAACATGACCAGCGCCTGCGCCGTGTGGATCCGCACGTGCTGGGCAAGGCTGTTGGCGTCCAGGAACTTGTCCCCACAGGAATCACAGGCATAGAGGATGTGGGTGTTGGGGTCTGTGGGAGGCAGGGCCGTGGTCAGAGCGAGGAGGGCCCGGGCCTCCACCGCCCCCCGCACCCCCGGGCACCCCCTCACCTTCCTCCTGTACTTGTTTCACTGCTTTGCTGATCTCGGCCTTGAGTACTTCCGTCTCATCGGCGGTCACCGCGGCGCCCACTGGGACCACTGCGGGTGAAGGGCCAAGTCCGCAGGGCCTGAGGCCAAAGGGCCCTGCCCCTTCGCGGCCACCCCAGAGGCAAGCTGCCCACGACCACCCCCAGCTGCCCGCAGCCCGCACCTGTGAGCTGAGTGACGGCTGTTGCCGCCAGTGCCTCCGTCGCCAGCGTGACCATGTCATCAACAGTGACCACGCTGACCTCTCCACCCTCCTCGGGCTCCAGTATTTTGATGCCCGCCTTGCCCTGGTGCACGGTCTTCACATGGGAACGCAGGTTGTCCACCCGGTTGAAGCCACGGCCACACTTGTCACACAGGTAAGGCTTCTCTCCTGGGGGGGAAGGCAAGGTTCTCGCCTGCCGCTGGGGGGAGGGGGGAGGACCTCAGTGGCCTCCAGCTGCCCCAAAGCCCTGTCTCTTCCAGCAGCAAGTGCCCTGGGGTAGCCTCCAGTGGCCACTGTGCCTTCTGGAAACTAGTAAGAGGGGGTCCTCGTTTGAACTGAGCCTCCTTCAAGGCCACCTGCAGCTAGGGTCAGCACCCCAGGCCACGATCTGGAGGGACCTCCCTGCCCGCCACCCCGCCAAGAACCAGGGACAGGTGAGCGGTGGGCCCAGGCTCACCAGTGTGAATGATGATGTGCTTGGACAGGTCCCCCACGTTCACGAAGGCCTTGCTACACACGCTGCACTTGTGAGGGCGAATGTTGTCATGGTGACGAATGTGATTGGCCAACTGGCTGGACTGGACGAACCTGCAGGGCCGCACAGGGATGGGCTGGCACCCAACTGCCCGAGCCTGGTTTGGGGGAGCTGAGCTGAGCTGGGGCCTCCTGCCGCCGCCTCTAGATCGGAGCCGACCCCGGGGACCTACGCCTGGACTGGAGCAGCGGTTGGCCCGGTTCCCAACTGAGCCCTAGGTTGGCATCCTGACCCCCTACACCGCGCAGGCTGCCGGGGACCCCCGCAGGGCCCGGGGCAGGGGAGGGATGGGCAGGGCAGGACCTCTTGCCGCATCGCTCGCAGACGTAGGGCTTCTCCCCTGTGTGTTGGCGCACGTGCGCGATGAGGGAGCTGGCCTGGGTAAAGGCCTTGCCGCACATCACACACTGGCATGGCTTCTCGCCTGGGGACGGGGCAGGAGAAAGTGTGGGTGCCTCCACCTCCCAGCCGACCCCTCCCCCGCCCTGCCCCTCCCGCAGTGCCGGGCCCACTCGCCCACCTGTGTGGATGCGGACGTGCCGCTGCAGGGCACCGGGGTCTGCAAACTGCCGCTGGCAGTGGATGCACACGTAGGGCTTCTCCCCGCTGTGGATCCGAAGGTGCCGCTTGAGGTTCCCTGTGGCGAGACGCAAGGGGCGCCTGCGTGAGGGGCAGCGGGTGGCTGCGGGGTGCAGGGGCATGAGAGCAGCTGGCAGCTGCGGGGTGCAGGGGCGTGAGGGCAGCGGGTGGCTGCGGGGTGCAGGGGCGTGAGGGCAGCGGGCGGCTGTGGGGTGCGGGGTGCAGGGGCGTAAGGGGCAGCAGGCGGCTGCGGGGTGCAGGGGCGTGAGGGCAGCGGGCAGCTGCGGGGTGCAGGGGCGTGAGGGCAGCGGGCAGCTGCGGGGTGCAGGGGCGTGAGGGCAGCGGGCAGCTGCGGGGTGCAGGGGCGTGAGGGCAGCGGGCAGCTGCGGGGTGCAGGGGCGTGAGGGCAGCGGGCAGCTGCGGGGTGCAGGGGCGTGAGGGCAGCGGGCGGCTGGGGGCGGGCCCGGCCCTACCTGAGGTGGTGAACTGCTTCCCACACTCTCGGCACTTGAGGGGCCCGTCGGCGATGTGGATCTTCAGATGGGCCTTCAGATTCCCCACCTGCGCCCGGGGAAGGGGTCAGAAGGGCCACCCCAAGGAACACGGTGTGGGAGGCCCCTCCCACCAGGGGACAAAGGATTCTCAGCCCTCCCTGGGGGCCCCTGGAGCGCCCCATCTTTCCTCGAGGCCAGTGGAATGTTCCAGGTCCCAGAGGTGAAAAAGGGAAAACCAGCTCACCCTGGTTCTTCAGGGCCCCAGCCCACCCAGCCTCGAGCCGTCCTCCCAGCTTCCCCAGCAGCCGGGCGGCCCTCCCTCCTCAGCCGGCGCCTCTACCCACAGGCTGCCGGGTCCTCGCCCTCGCCTCCCGCGAGGCCTCCCGCGGGCACACCTGGTTGAACTTCTTGTCGCAGTGAGGGCACTTGTGCTCCTTGTCCGTGTCGTGGGTCTCCAGGTGGCGCATCTTGGACGTGGGGTCGGAGAAGGAGCGGCCACAGTAGTCGCACTGGTAGGGCTTCTCGCCGCTGTGCACCAGCTGGTGGCGCTTCAGGTTGCCCGACGTGGTGAAGAGCTTGCCGCAGTCCTCGCAGCGGTAGCGCGCCTCGCCCGAGTGCCGCTTCTTGTGCAGGTTCAGCAGGCTGATGAGCCGGTAGCTCTTGCCACACTCCTCGCAGCCGTACGGCTTCAGCGGGCTGGTGGTCACAGGGCGACAGAGGGGTGAGGCTCCCGGGGCACCCAGAGGCCGGGCGGGGGGCGGGGGCGGGGGGCGGCTGCGCGCGGGCTACCTGTGGGTCTTCTCGTGGGCCTTGCACGCGGCCGGGTCCGAGAAGGCCTTGCTGCACTCCCGGCACGAGAAGGGCTTCTCGCCCGTGTGGATGCGGATGTGCCGCTTGAAGTTGCCCGTGTGCGTGAACTCTTTGCCGCAGTCCTGCGGGGTGCAGCGGGGGAGCAGGCGTCAGGGCCGCGGGGTGGGGGGCGGGGGCCGCGGGCGGGGGCCGCAGGGAGGGCCGCACCTCGCACTTGTGGATGACGGAGCCGTAGGCCTTGGACTCCGTGCGGTCACCATAGGTGCCCGAGCGCAGGCCCCGGGCCTCAGCGCCCAGCTCCTGGCCCGAGTCGGTGCTGGCCGACTCTTCGCTCTCCTCAGGGGCCTCCCCCTTCTCCAGCAGCGGCCCCTCTTCCTTGACCTCGGCGGCCCCTGCGCCCTCATCCTCTCGCACTTCCCCTTTCCTGGCCGGCTCCACCTCCATCTCTGCGGGGAGAAGGGCAGGCACTGAGATGCCTGGGAGGGCAAGAAGGGGCCTCCAAAGGTCGCGACCTCACAGCCAGCAAAGGAGGCGGCCTCCCCAGACAAGCAGGCAGGGCCGTCTGCCGCTGGGAGGGGCGGTGGCCTCGTTCCCCACGACGCTGGACTTGCTAACACAGCGGGTACTGGGGGTGGCCGGGCTCCCCGATGGTGCGCAGCACCGAGAAGCAGCAGAAGTGCAGGCGCTGCACCAGCAACACATCTGTGCCAACAGAAGCAAGGCTGGGTGTGCAATCAACAAAGGTCAGATTTCCAGAATGGAAATATGACTTGGGTCCAAAGCTAAGGCATGACTCACAGTGGGATCAGCTGGAGGTGGGGCAGGGGGAGGGACCCCAGGGGACCTGGGGGTGCGGGCCGGCTCCACGTGGCCCCCGGGTACCTTGCTCTGAGCTCTCCGACAAGGCGCCCTCGGCCTCAGCAGCAGCCATGCTGCTCGTGGGGTCTGGCTTGGGCTCCACGGGGGGCGGCTCCCGAGGGGCGTCGGCCTTCTCCGTCTGCTCTGCGCCTGGGTGTGGTGTGCAAACACCAGAGGCTGGATTAGGACCCTCCATCCAGGGGCCTGATGGCTCTCCTAGACCAGGTCCCCGGTAGCGGCGGTGGCCTGGAGCAGGGGCCCAGCACATCCAAACTCAAGCTGCTTGTGCCTCTGCTCTGGCTGGACAGGCGCCCCCAAGCCAACAGCAGGTCATTCTGGGGAACGAGAACTCAAGGGGTACAGCAGCCTGTGCCACCCTACCTCTGGGCCCTGGGGAGGTGATGGGACGGACGGCCGGGTCCTCGGTGCCACGACTCACCGCTGGCCGTGCTCTCGGCCTGGCCGCCCCGCTCCTCTTTGGGCTCCCTGCCCGGGCCTGGGGGCGGATTGCTGCCGGCTGGGTCCAGCTCACTCAGCATGGTAGCAGCTGCCTTCTCCTCTTTGGCTCTCTTGTCTCCTCCTAGACACGGAACAGGACAGACCTGCCTTTTCCCATCACGTGCCCACCACCTGGAGGGGTGAGGTGGCCCAGGACTTTCTAGCAGTCTGTTCCCAGGGCAGCTCCTCCACGCCAGGCTGTGCCTGGGCCTGGGATAAGCGGTCCCGGCCGCTGCTTCCGTGGGGCTCCCACACTGGTCGGGGAGCACACCTCACAAGCAAGACAATACCACCAGTCAGAGGTCAGTGCTTGGGAGGAGAACGGGGTTCTCTGCAAAGGGTACCATGAGCGTCTGGCCCACACCCGGCACCAGGGGCCCGACAGCAGAGAGCTGTAGGAGGAGCGACCCCCAAGTGCAGAGGCCTAAGGGAGCAGAGCACAAAGCAGCTAATGGGGGAAGGGGTAGGCAGACGGGCCCCTGTGAGGCCCTTCCTGAGGCTTTACTCCTTACCAGCACCCCACGGTGCAGGCAAGGCCGGATAAGAAACTGGGGCCCAGAGAGAAGCAGAAAGTCCGAGGCAGCACTGCCTCCAAAGCCACCTGCTCAGAACAGCCCGCCAAGTGTCTTACCTTCCACGGCCGAGGCCACCGTATTCTCCCCAGGGCTGGTGGCCGGCTCAGCGAGTGACTTGAGGGCATGGCAGGCCGTGATGATGTCCTGCATCTGCAGGAAGCTGGCTACGGCCAGCACATCGTCCACGTTCTCAGAGCTCAGGCTCAGCTTGGCCGTGTACATGAACTCCAGCACCTGCCCCAAGCCTGCCAAGGACACAGACAGTCATCACGGACCCGCCTCCAGCCCCGGCACCAGCAGCCTCCTCAGCTGCCCGACTCGGTAGCGGGATGGCAGGCCACCGTCTCCCCAGCCCGTACTGGCGGGCAGGTGGGCAACCCGAGGACCCTCAGCCCAGACCACAGCCTCTGAAATTAAATAGGCCCCCAAAGGGCGGAGGGGGTGATGGCTGCCCTGCATGGAGGACAGGGGTGTGAGCACCTGCTCTGCACAGTAGAGGGTGGGAACAGAGGACTGAGAGTGTAAACAGCACCCTGCACGAAGGCCAGGTGAACTCCTACCCTGCACAGGGGACAGGAGTGTGAACACCACCCCCCCCGCCCCTGTGTACTCTCCCAGTCACCACACTCCACCACTGGACACGCCACCAAGAGTGTGTCAGCACTGGCCTTCATCAGGGCTCTGCCACAAAGCAGGTGACCTCCAGGCCAGTCACCTGCCCGCTCTGGATCTCAGCTTCTGTATCTGTAAACTGGGGGGACACCACTTTGCCCTGACCTTCTAGTGGCAGGTCACGCCATTCTGGGTCAGGAGCCAAATCCAGGACCAGTTCCCTCCTCAATGCCGGGTCTTCCCGACCCCCTCCCAGCCCCAGCTGTGGCTACCCCATCAGGGCCAGCCCTGCGGTAGGGGTTCAGGACAGACTCAGCCAGGGGAAGGGGTCGGGGGCTCAGAGCCCACCTGTTCTCTGTCCCTCCTGACAAGCCTAGCCTATGTTCCCTATGATGAGCTTATTGTGAGCCCTTCCTGTCAGTTCTCTCCCAGTCAAAACAGGCCCCGCAAACGTAGCAGCAACTAGGTGCCCACATGCTCGTGGCCTGAGTCCTGCGTGGGAGGCCTGGCCCACCCCAGGACCTGAAGGGCCGCCCCCAGGAGGGCCTTGCGCGGCACAGGGCCACCATAGCTCTGACCTGCCACAAGCTCGGCCCTGGACCCAACAGGGTACCTGCCGCGTTACTGATGTCCAGGTGCACCACATCCTTCTGGTCCACGAAGAGCATCTTGAAGTACTCGCTGCAGGCTGCCAGAACTGCTTTATGGGCCTTGAAGTCAACGCCGTCCACCACGAAAGTGCAGTCGCACAGAAGTCCCAGCTGCCGCTGCTGGTTCAGCTGCTCCAGGACCTGCTGGCTGTGCTGGGGAAAATCCATGGCTGGGGAAGCCACAGGGCCTTCGCATGAGCACAGAGGAAGGATGCCGGCCAGCCTGACCAGTCCACCCCAACCCTCCCAGGTGAGAAATGTGGGGCAGAGATGGGGAACTACATCCACAAAGGGTAAATCGCTCCAGATTCCCTGTGCAAGCCAAGGCTGACCAGTGGCTCCTAGATCCCTGGGTTTACTGGTCAGCAAAGCTCCCAAAACCAAAAGCTTTGAGGGACCAACACAAAACAGCCACCTCTGTGTCTTGCCAGGTAACGACATTAAAAAGTCAAAAAACAAACACGAAACACTCATTACTGAGAGCATTAAAAAAAGACATTGGGCAGCCCCGGTGGCTCAGCGGTTTAGCGCCACCTTCAGCCCAGGGCCTGATCCTGGAGACCCGGGATCAAGTCCCACATTGGGCTCCCTGCAGGGAGCCTGCTTCTCCCTCTCCCTGTGTCTCTGCCTCTCTCTCTCTCTCTGTCTCTCTCATGAATAAATAAAATCTTAAAAAAAAAAAAAAGATGCAGGACATAATCTTAGAAGAAAGGACAGATTTTTCAACTAGATACATTTGGCTTTATGAAAACCTTTTTATTTTGGTTTTTTCCCCCATTCTGTCATATACAGGTGAGATGTGCGTCTGGGAAGACAGGTGTTCCCTCTGCCAGCATCTCAGGAGTGGACTCTCTCCTGCGTCACAGGCTCTGGCAAAGTCCCGCCCTTGGGGGCAGGGATCTCTCTCTCGATCTGATTCATAGGCCCAGAGAACTACATAAAGTTGGGGAGTCCTCTGCCTCCAGAAACCTCTCCGGGCAGTCCCTGGCAGAAAATGAGCCTTGGTCCTGACCCCAAGAGCTGCTGGTCTGGCCGCAGTTTCTCTGTCAAAGACTTCGTTAATGCCTGGAAATCCCACAACCGTCTCAAGTGAATATGCTCAGAAAAATTCCATGGCCTGGTGCCGAATAATCACCAACTACCACAAGCCAGGACTAAATAAGTATCTAAAACAGCTCGGGCCACCGCAGAAGCGCCACACCAGAGTGCATCTCAGATGAGCATTTTATAGGAAAAATAGCAGGCACCTCGGTCCAAGAAAGATCCAATTTCAAAATGAAAGTCAGCACCCCACTCCTGGGATCACAGGCCACCAGCCCTGGCATGGACCCACCAGGGCCAGGCTGTCATGCCCTGGCCTGGCATCGGATGCCTGGGTCTGCTCAGAGCTGCCCCAGGCTGTTTCTGGGCAGGTGCGAAGGACACTTTGCAGCTCCTAGCCCCCAGGTTCCAGCAGCCCCCCCCCCCCACCGTGTGAGTCACCGCAGGAGCCGTGACCATGTATGGCCACCAACTAGCCCCGAGCCGCAAGGAAAGCCACGCCCACCCCCACCCCCCAAGAGGGGCTCAGCACCCCCCATCAGCTTTGAATGCTGTGAAGCCCACCCACCCAGTGGCGTCTGGGAGGTTTTCAAAGGCAGGGCTATGTGTCCAGGAGTTGGAGGATGTCACCGAGGCGGGGCTCCATTGGAAAGGACCCACGTCCGGTGCCGGGTTAAAGGCCCGGGCCGTGGGCACTCAGGCCTGGGATGTGAAGGCAGCACACCCCCGACGGGGCGGGCAGGGGGCAAAGGCGGTTGCGGCGGGCAGCTAAGTCCCGGTCCCTAGCCACTGCCTATGTCCTTAGAAGCCGGGTGCAGAAGCCCCCCCACCCCGGGGGGGCCTGGCTCCTTCACCTTCCTCCGGCAGCCCACCCAACAATACCCACAACGGACCAGGGAGGAAGGGAGGTAGTGTCCCAAGTTTGGAAACAACCAGGAGCAGCAGCTGACCCCTGCCCCCGCCCCAGCCGCAAGGCCACCTGACTTGCTGTAAACCTGAGAAGAGACTCCTGGGCCCACCCCGGGGGTTGGGGGGGGTACCATGCCAGCCATAATGGCAGCTGCTCAGCGGGGCAGGCCAGGGGCCCACGCCTGCCAGGAGCCCTCAAGAGCCTTCAGGAGCCTTCGTGCTGCGGCCCCGCCACAGCTTCCAGGGAACGGGCACAGGCCCGGCTCTCATTTCAGAGGCTTCGGGGGATTAAAGGTCGGGGGGGGGGGGGGGGGGGGAAGGTGGCTGGTGGCCCTGGGGCTGGTGGCCGGGCACCTTCCTGTGCCCACCCCTCCAGGAGGAGGTCTTCCACCCAATGCTGACCATGCTCCTCGCCAGATGCGGGTGTGGGGGGCACAACCCAGGGTCCCCCAGAGCTGTTCCAACAGAAAAACACTCCCAGAGGGTGCCTGTTTTGACAAATCCAAAGACTAAAAAGGAAGCAAGAAAAGGGGAGACGGTGAGAGGAAGCAGCAGAGGAAGCCGCAGGAGACCAGGAAGGGAGGGAGCAGAGCCTGAGGAAGGAAGGACCAGAAAGGTGGAGAAAGGCCGAGGCCATGTGCTGAAGAGTCGGCTAAACACTGGCTCCCGGGGCTGGTTCTGCCATCAGGGGCTGGTTCTGCCATCAGCCCAGGGGAGAGCCAGCGGGCCATGGGGGCTCCCCAGTGCTCCCGCCCCCCTCCAGGCAGGTTATAACCCTCACCAGGTGGAGCCCAGAGGCCCCCAGCTGCCTCCAGGACCCACCTCCCCCAGGTGGCAGCCTGCTAGAAAGCTCCACCAGCCCCTTACTCCCTAAGGCAAGGTGGTAAGCAGGTGAGGGCCCAGCTGGCCTGATCCTCCCCTCAGGGGCTGAGCGAGAACCCGGCATCCAGAGCTCCATCCAGAGCTCCGTGAAATGCTCTAGAAGATCACGGCAATCCTCCTACTGTCTCCTGTTTCCTTTCACGCTCCACAGTGACAGGAACCCACCACGATCGGGCCAAGCTTAGAGGGGTCAGGAAAGAGGTGAGCGGGCTGCCTGGGCCACACAGCTGAACGTGTGGGTCCCGCGGGCTCGGGGAGCTGCCCACCCCAGCCAGTGCATGCACCAAGGCGTCGCCATCCAAGGAGATCTGAAACAACCATATGATCAACAGCCCCGCTGCCTCTCATCGCCAAGGCCGGGGATCAAGTGTGGCTCCCCCAGCCTCACCCCTGCTACGCAGTGCCTTCACTCAAACGAAAGTGTGGGGGGGTCCCTTCTGCCTTACTTCGTCTTGCTTTAAGGGTGATAAATGTGGGCCTTAAAGCTACTCTAAGACCCTAAAAGTGAGAACTAAAGAAAATGTAAACAGAACAAGACCACAGAGCCCACCAAGCCCAAAGTTCTCACGTCAGATACAGAAAATGAAGCCTCAAACCGGCACATATTTGTCCCCTCAAGAAACTGGCATGATCTTCTAGAAATTCCTCACTGCACTCGGGTACCTTCCCTGTGCCACCGCCAGCTGCTCAGTGGTTGTCCCTGATGAATGGGGCTGACTTCTGGTGTCAGAAGTGGGATGCTCTTCAGATGGCCACCCACCCAGCTGGACACTCACCCCTGGCCTGCCTCACAAAGAATTTGTTTGGGAATGAAAACCTGAAGGACCTAGAGGAGACCCGCGGTGGGATTCTAAACAGTCCCAACTAAGCAACATGGACACGGATGGCCGCCACCATCCCCCCATCCCACCACATCTGCTGGGAGATTCCACCCAGACTTGGGTGGCTCTGACCACCAAGATGCAGTAACTCTGTGCCAGTTCCAGGCCTGGCCCTCAAGAGGTCTGCGGATTCCACGTGGCTCTCCTGCAATCCAGCCACCCCATCGCAGGGATGTCCAGGCTCTCCTGCTGGAGAGGGACGAGGCACAGAGCAGCCCCGGAGTAGACACTGCGTGCACAGCCCACATAAAGAACAGCAGACAGCCGTACAGGAGATGCTTTCCTGGACCCTCCAGCCCAGCTACTAGCTGAATGCTGTCACATGAATGCTGACCCCAACAACTCGTGGAACAAAAGAAACTGCCCAGTCAACCCATTAAATTGGGAGAAGTAATAAACAGCTGATGGTTTAGGTCACTAAGTTTTGAAGTGGTTGCTCACAGCAAGAGAATGGATAGGACGGTAAAACCATCAAGAAAAGGCAATGGGGACACCTGGGTGGCTCACTGGTTGAGTGTCTGCCTTTGGCTCAGGTCATGCTCCCAGGGTCCCAGGTCCCAGGATCGAGTGCCGCATCGGGCTCCCTGCTGGGGGTGTGCTTCTCCCTCTGCCTGTGTCTCTGCCTCTCTGTGTCTCTCATGAATAAATAAAAAATCTTAAAAAAAAAAAAGAAAAGAAAAGAAAGAAAGAAAAGGCAACAAGTAACAAAACGTCCAAGATGACAGTTCTGTCTGGATGGGAGGAGGGACAAGCAGGGGTCTTCTGACACACTGGGAGTGCTCCATTTCTTTACTTGGACACACCTAGATTATTTAAGTTAAACATACATTTCATATACTTTTGTATGGCAACATTTTTCAAAAGTCCACAAAAATTTTAGTAAGAAGAACGTGAGGTACAGGTGCCACACTCAATCTAGCAGTGACAGGGTTATTTCCAAGTATGCTTGCGGCCGCTCTCGCAGGGGCTGTGCTAAGACCCAGGTCTCAGGTTTCCCAGGAGCCGAGCAGGGTGCAGGGGGCCTGGCCACAGAAAACACAATGCATCTCATTCATGTTTCAGATGATAACGTAAGGAAGAGTTCCCGGGGGTGCTGAAATCCTTAAGATTCGGGGGGATCCCAGACTCCATGACCCCCTCCCCCCAGGAACAACAAAATGGCATTAATGGAGTCTCTTCAACATGCCAGGAAACACGGTGCACGCGTGGCACCACCTGACCACCTAAAAACTAAGAACATGGCTATCCTGGGTGTCGAGTTCCACACTGAGTACAGAGGCAGCAGAGCCTCTGGGGTCAGGCCGGGTAGGACCCCGATCCCTGTTCGGCCACCTGCCTCACCAGTGGTGCATCTCCAGCAAAGCTCCTCCTTTGGCAAAATGGGGCCAGTGGGACCGCTTCCCACGTGTTACAGACTTCAGGTAGACCCTGTAAGCACAGAGCCCGAACAGCGCCCG